TTCTTAATTATGAAGTCCATGTGAATAGAAAGAAGTAAAGGAACTTTACGGTATTTAACCTTAGACGATGAGGATTAATGTTGATGTTGTTATTTATAGTCATCTAGTATTTACAATATTTTTAATAACGGAATCAATGCGAGTAGAAAGAGCCATAGAATTTTCACGGTATTTTAATCTTCGACAAGGAGGATTAATGCCGTTGTTTAGGATCATCTCATGGTTATAATAATTCTAATAACGAAATCAACGTTAGTGCGACAAAGTGGATTAATATCGTTAGCTAGGATAATCTAATATCAACAATATTCTTAATTGTAAAGTTAAGGTGAGTAAAACGAGCCAAAGTAATTTCATTATAAGTTGGGAAACAAGACAGTGAACTCAATAGTGTAGCATAGGATAGAATGATGTCTTTATTATGCTTTAGAATCAAGCCAAATTAAACATGATAAAGGAAAAATATATCATTTCACTTCATTTTAGTCTTCTTGAGATGAATTGATGCAGCTCTTTAGCATTATTCCATGTCGAAACGGTGATATTCTATAATATAGAGTCGAAGTCGACAAGAAGTGAAAAATCATTGTCAATTAATCATCTTTGGTAGCGTCAGAAGCGCATGCAGTCATCTAAGATACAATATTGATGCTCTTTTACTATCCAGTGTCATTTTCCAGTCGAGCATATACTATTTTCCATTAATTAATAATTTATCTAGTCTCCAATCAATAATCGCTACAATCAGCCATTCAAATCGATATTCATCCTATTTTAATCTACTAAAAATAGATTATTCGTAGTGGATAATCGTTGCCGGTAGACTATCACTACCATCAGCTCTTCAGGCCATTATTCATCCTGTTTCAATCCTTCGCAGATAGATTATTCCTCGAGGTATTAGTCACCATCAGGCTATATACATCACTTATTTAAGCTAAAATTTATCTTTTTTCAGTCCATCGAAGACCAATTATCCCTCAGGGAGGCAGTTGCCATAGGGCTATATCCGCTACCTGCTCTTGAAGCCAATACGTGTCCTAATTCAATCAGTCCAAGATAAGTTATTCCTACTAGATCATAGTTATAATCAAGTTAGAACTATCAAGAGCTCCTCAGGCCAAATTCGTTATATTACAGTCAATCTAAGATATATCAATTAATTATTATTGGGGGTAGTAGTTGCTATCAGATTATAACGATATTAAACATCTTCTCCATAAATCGAATATTCAAGCGAAATTTACTATTCAATATAGAGAAGCTAATCTTTGCTGTCTTCATATTATTAATAGGATTTTATCATGGGTTGTTCATCATCTTCCAATTCGAAAATACCAATTAATGTCGTCAAACCTGAAAGTACAAGAGCATCGACCATTAAATCGGATAGTCGGAATTTGGAAGAAGAAAAATCGCCTACATCTAGCCAATCAACCAAAGGGAGTAAGAATAAAATATCGTTCACCAACAGAAAAATAGCAGAAACGAAAGTAAGTCAGTATCACCTGGTTGGTGTCATTAATATCAATCGATACGTTTTTCTACTCTACTTCTTTTTTTGTTATGATGGATTAACTTTATGAAACTAAAATCATTTCCTAAAATTTTTTTCTATACGTTAAAAGCAAAGTATTGTTGTGTATCATCTTCCATTCCCATCATTGCTTTATTCCATGTGCTTTACCAGCATGGTCGTTTCTTCTCGATTATGATGTAGGCTTTTACTATAGACATTAAAAATTCTTTAGGGGCTTTCATAAAGCTAAATGGACTAAGTATTTAATAATATGATGTAATAGCAAGCATGATTTTACCCCTACTTTTATATATTATGATACAGTAGTGTCTTTAACGGCCGACGATTCTTGCTAACACTCTATTTTATTTCTTTGTAACTTCTCATATGCAAAGTATTTTTAAGAGCGAGCCTTACTTATACTTAGATCGAAATAGTTTGTTAGCTGCACCCAATTTATTCTCAATGATTATTTCCAACTCTATTTTGACCAATGAATATTCTATCGACTAAGAGAGTTACTAGCTGTCGTTATTAGCCGATTAGCGGTAGCTTATCTCATGTCTTAGCGGCTATTGACTTGTAAAGAGATTTTATTTAGAAGTAAATCTATCTCTATTGGATTTTAACTTGTATAGACAGCTTATTCCTATTCTATGCCCTTATTGAGCGAGTATTTGGTGATTTACTATAGTAATTCTTCTTCTAGCCCATCATAATTCTTGTCAGGGGTAGAACTTTATTGAACTTCTATTTACACAGATACCTTAGCCCTGTTCTATCCCTTTCTGAGTAAACATTTGGCAATTTGCTTTTGCTATTTTTCTTCAAAATGGACCCGTTCTAATGACAGCTTGATTAGGAGATAATAATTTCTAAAATAGTCTAGCATAAAAGATTATATGCGGTTGTATAACTTGTATTAAAATAAGATCTGAAAGATTAACTAGGTAGTTCTAATTAGATTATATACAACAGATTATAGATGTTATTACAATCGCTAATATCCGTATCTAACAATTGAACATTGCATCCGTTCATAAAATACTTTATCATTTTCTTGATTTTAATCACATATGCGACTGTGTTTAACAAATAAAACATGAAAAAATTCCATTGCTAGATAAAGCTGATCTTTTTTAAAATACGTTGTATCTGACATCTATTTTCGTTTGCTGTAGCTATGTTACCCGAAGCTACTGGATGTTCATTCTATTCATGTGTATAGCTGATATAAAATCTAGGTTGATTTTAACATTGCAACGGATAATCATCCATTGATCACATAAACAACCTAATGCAATCACAACAACGTATACCTCTAAATAACCTCTCTATATTCAATATACCAGAAAAAACGAAATCGTATTTGCTTAATTATATTTATCATTAGTCATCTAAAATGCAAGCTACCAGTGTGCCTTTGCTATTCCCAAAGATACGATCAAGAATCGAATTAATCTTTGCATTATCTAAATTAAAACGACAGGCTACGAGATTTGTTTATTTTATTTTCATAATGGATGTTACTGTACACTCGTACTAACAATCAAAGTACCATATTCCAACTCCAAATACCTTACCCTAGACTTTCTTTATTACCGATGAATTAGCAAACTACCAATACTCATTTAAAATTAAGGCAAATGAAATTGATCTTGTGATTTATTGCATAAAACCGACAATCAGATTACCCTTTCTACTACACAAATTAAACTACGAGCTCTGAGATTTGTTAGTTTATTTCCACAGCATCAACTAAACTTTCTTTATGTATACACAAGTATATTAAAGAATTTTACGTTAATCATGACGCAATAATTGAATCACAAAAGATACAGAGTCGACCATAGTCTCTTTGTACAGGGGTTTATTATAAAATTTTATTGTAATAAAGACACGATATCCTTATTGCATTAGTTAACCGTCAACTAAACTCTCTTATCTAGGGATAAATGAGGAAATTTTATATTAGTCCATCAATCATAGCACGAAATTATAATTACGGTTGATATGTCGTCAATTAAACTGTCTTCATATTCGAATAAATCTAGGAAATTACTAGAAGTCATTAAATTGATTCTACATAAACAATCGTCTTTCCCTTTTTAGCGCACAAATCTAAAACACGAGCTGCAATTTATTAGTTTCTCGTACTTAATCTTATCATAACGACAACACATTCTAACTTCATATCGGTACGGTATGCTGCTAACTAAAACCCCTTTCTTTATAGTAAACTAGTCCTACAACCCGTCGTGTTGTTGATGGACTGTGTCTTATAACGTTATTTACATTTGTTCTTAAATATGTACGTTAGAGTTATGCAATTCTTGCTAAGGAAGTTATCAGTAGTCATTTAACCGAGCTGATGATTAAATTTTGACGATCCATTATAGATGATCATAAATCCGGTTATCCTTTCTACTATTGTGCCCATATTCAAAATACCAACTATAAAATATGCTTGTTTCATTTCATATAATAATCGATCTTCTATTGGTAATCATTGTTCAATATTCCAATAATAGCATATCATCAAATAAACTCGTTGTATCGAGAAAATTGGGAAGTAATTTTAATATTCTAAGCAAGTCGATTCACTTTATCGATGATTGTTATTAATCCTAGACTGATAAACAAGAATCAGCTAACTCTTTGTGCTGCACAGTTTTAAACTGTAAGTCTGAAGATTGACTAGCAACATTTATGACTCAAATTCTGCTAATTATTTAATAGTTTCTAGCGCAATTTCTATCGACAATGATGATCAACAATAATGTTCTTGTAAGAAAAGTGGGACAATTAAAGAATAAATGAGTGCTAAGGACTTGTATAGCGAGAAAATTGGGATGTAACTATTTCAGATAGCAATTACTGGATTGTAATTACGTCCAGCAACAATAGATTTTTGAACGCTGTTCACAGTATCTTAAGGGTATTGTCTTGTTATTAGTAGAAAAGACCAAATTGATTGTTATTTTACTCCAATTTTTGCTATTAGTATGTTCACTTTATTATTGGTTCATAAGCAACTCTACTGTCTATCTGAATAAATGATTAGATCGTTTACGTCGTATTGTATGCTTGCAATGGAATAAAAAATGAACTTTACTTAATAAGTATCATGATAGAATGATAGGGCGCTATCGGGGAAAGAAAGGATACGTAGGTTGAAGTTGTCATAGCAACAGGATCAAAAATGATAGCAAAAACCTTTCATAGTCTAGATTTAATCGACAGAAGTAATTTAAAATTGAAAAAGAAACGGCAAATAAAAGAATTAATCATTTTGGCCGTGACAAAAAAATGGGATGATCTCATATGACTTGAACAGCTGTTTATAGTTATAGACAGGGTATCGTTGAATATTTTGTGTATCTTTTAGTAGGGTATTAATATTTATTAGCTATTAGCTGTGGTAAATTAAAAGAAAAGATAAGCCTTCGTCGTATTAGTTATCCAATTCATTCTCGAAAAGATGGCCTTGTTTGTGGCTAACAATGTGAGATTTCATTTTTTAGATTATATTTCCAGTTTTTTTCTTTATTTTTATCTTTGCATAGACATTTATATTTTACTAAACATGGAATCCGTGTATAATTATATATATCTTTGGTTTTTTGTATCGGTTACTCTAAATCTTGCTTATCGTTTATATCGAAAGGAAGGGTTAATTTTTTTTATTAGAAGAAAAATTTGTGGGATGCACTACTCTCGTTATCGTCTCCAAAATTAATTAATTGTTCTTCGTCATCTTTCTTTAATTGCTTACTAGGAAGAATTTGATCTTATCATTAAATCAGCCGATGATAAATTAGTTGTCATTGATTTTTATGCTCAGTGGTGTGGTCCATGTCGCCGTATAGGGCCTAAATACGAGGTAAAACGGTTATTATTTTCATTTCAAGGACAGTAACTCTTCATTCATGCAATACTGTATGGACTTGATTTTTGTTCGTCCCTTCATCAAATACCTAATTTGCCCATTTCTAGGCTATGAGTAAGGATCCAGAATATGAAAATGTTATATTTCTGAAGGTTGATGTTGATGATAATAGTGTAAGTATTGGTTAATTAAAGCGCATTAATAAAATATCTGGATGTGAAACGGCTATATTATAGGAAAGATCGTCTTTAATCTTGAGATGTTATAAACGGCCCAGTCACTAATTAATAGGAGCAGTGATTCTACAACAATCTTAGTCATAAAACTTCCTCCTTACAAGCGATGTTATTAAAAATAGTCATTTAAGTCTATTTGGTTGCAGTATTTTACGTAAATACAATTGAGTCTTACTATATCACCAATACTGATTTGTTATTTCCTAAAATAGGATACTGCCGAAGCTTGTGGTATCAGTTGCATGCCAACGTTTCAATTTTATCAAAATGGACAAAAGGTATTATAGAATTGATCACTAATAGCAATATCTTGCCGTATAAAAAATTGCATGCCATGTACAGTAGCAACGTCTGCTAAACGATACTATAATATTAATTTTAAAATCGGTCAATATGAAAATTTTCCCTGATAGATTGATGAACTTTCTGGATCTGACGATTCACAACTTCTAGCTAAAATTAAAGAATTAATGGTTCGATAAAAGTAGCAAAGTAAGGTTTACTATTTATCAATTATGTAATATTCTGGATAAGAAATAAAAACGATAGTGGTGTATAAATCACTTGGAGTTTTAAGAATGGAAATTTTCAATTTTATTTCAATACATTAATGTATAGGTGAAGGGAGGAATCTTTCCTTCATTCGCTACAGCGATAAAGTATATTACGTCAGTAAGAAGAAGATGTACACAATAACTTATTTGCTTTTAATGATGATTCAAATATAAGATTCATGCATAACCTTATATTGATAGTGTGAATATCACTCTTTTACACATAAAACTACTTTATAACTCTTCTTGGCTTGCAAACTTGTTATTGTACAATGTGTTCTTTGAAATTTGACTGCTATAGCTGGTACTTGTATATATTGATGTGTTTATGAAAGTTATAACATAAATGTATAGTATATTAACATATACATAGTACATATATATATTCAGATATTTGATCTAACATTATACAGCAAATAGATGTAGCTAGCTTAACTAGCTAGCTTACATAGCCATTTGCAGAATTATGATTTTCGAACAGTACCTTCGATACATTGACTGCGTAATTTTCTTTAATCACTTTTTTTGAATCTTGATTTTAAATTAAATAGATTTCACTCATGTAAATGGTTAAATAGATAGTTAAACAGATAATTGCCAGTAATAACTTAAATTATGAATATTTTATCATATACATTACTAGGATAACGTTATGCAGCCATCAATTGCAACTGAGTTTAAGTGAAATGAAAACCACGAAGCAGACTGCTATTTCATGGCGGCTAATTGATTGTAGTTAAACAAATAAAACTCCTTGTACATGCTTAATTTGGTGCTATAAGTCATTTTATCGTGATTGTAGAAACTAGCACAACCCATGGAAATTCTGTGGAATAGTATAATTTTAATTAATAGAGTAATCGCATTAATACGATTTGATAAATTATGCGTGCTTTGATTCTGATGTTGTTGAAGTTAGTCATCTCCAAGCAAAGTAAAAATTGTTACTATGGCCAACGTAACAGAGCTGGAAATTAGCTATCAGCTACATATACTATACCTGTCAGATTTTAGTTAAACTTCTACCCAAAGATAGCATGTAGCATAGTTGTAGTAAAGAAGAAAAATGAAAATATTCGTGGAACTTTACATTTAAAATGTATCTATCCTTGCAATTATGAAGATTGTGTAGCTGAGGTATAAAATGCTAAGCAGTGTATAATCGAACCGAATCGAATTCATGGATATTACTGGATAAGAAGAATAGTTTATTCCTAGAACTTTATACTTAAAAATGGTGCCATCGTTATGATTATGATTACTGTGTAACAAAGCTGTAGAATATCATGAAGTGAAATCGAATCGAATGTATAGATATTAAACCATAAGAAGAGTAATTATAAGTATAACTTTATTCGTAAAGATGTACGCTGTGCAGTAGCTTTTTTTGTAATTATAATTATAGATCTTGTATAAAAAAGCTATGGAATTTTGACAAGCGAAATCGAATTTATAGATATTACGGTGTAACAAGAGTCACTATTAGTAAAGCGTTATGCTTCAAAATGTAATCATCCTTTTAAACGTAGATTTTACTTAAGAAAAGCTATGGAATATTGACAAACAAAATCGAATCGAATCTATAGAAATTTCTGGGCATGAAAGGTCATTAATTGTAGAAACTATTCGTAGAACTTGATTAGGAGCGCAGTTATTTTGACAATTATGGATAAATTATCATAAAATCATGGAATATTGATGTTACGGTGAATCCCGAGAATCAGTTACTCCCAATAGTATTTTCAGTCTACACAAAAATGGAGTGATTATTTTGACAAAATGTGGGTACTTGGCAATGGCTTACAATTTAGATTTTCAGAAATTAGACAGTTTACATTAATGCTAATAAAACAAAAAGCTTGCGCTTAGCATATAATTACAGATTTCTATAGTTATGAAGCTATTTACAGGGTATGCTGATAGATCATTTGATGGCAATCGCTGTCTACCTCTATCAGAAACACCCTCATCTATTAAAATGAATGATTTCGATTACGCGCTCATGTAGTATACGAGTATGCATATATAGATGTATATGACATATGCAGTACAAACATGGACTAGATCCTGAATAAACTAATAACTTCATCCATGTTTAGTATTAAATGTAATAATATATAATGCATATCAACAACTGTATTTCTGTCTTTGAAACAGAAATCATGCGAGTAATTATTGCTGAAGTATATACCTATTTGCATTAATAATTGTTCACAAAGCTACCGCAAAATTCGCCTTTAGCTGATCTTCGAGCTACAGTATAAACAATGTATTACTTATTCTAACTTTCTTATAAACTATGAGCAGTATCCAATACAGCATGACAATTTAAATGGGGTACATGTAAACGATTAGACAGTCAGTATTTAAAATTATTATAAAGTTACATTTAGTATCTATCCAGCTTTTACCTTATTCCTAATAACGTACGCAATAATAGTCCGATGCTCCAACAGATAGCAATAAATAAGTGAAAGTAAAAATGGACTAGTAAATGTTAATGCCTTGGTGTAACATTTTCAAATCAATAAAGCAAAATAGTAAACATCTCCATGTACGAGTACGGTGCAAAAAGTTTTCATTTCAATTTCAGTAATAAATGATAGACAAGTTGAAAGTCACATCTTCTATTTGTAAATGTGCTTGTGTAGCGAATACGCTAAGAAAATAACTCTAGAATGTATACAATAACTTTATGACTTTAAATAATAATATTAAATTGCATATAGGTCTACCTTGCTAGATCGGATAGACTAGCCATGACAAGGAATCTTATTTTACAAATTTTTGCTTGAGAACTTGTCATACAATCGATTTTAAAAATTACCGATATAGCTGAAACTTTGTATATATATATAATATAAATAGAACTTCAATGTGATACCATATAAGCGTACAATTTGTTTTAAAATAGATGTAATCTATATAGACAATAATGTTACTGTAGTTCCAATGACAATAGAGTCTATCTTAGAGTCAATTACAACACCTCTTATTCAGCAACATCTAGAATTTGATTACATTTAGTAACAAATCAATGTCCCTCATGCCATTGGATGTAAGTAGCTACAAGTCAATGATTGCAGCAATTAAAATAGTGATTATTATAGCTGAAACATGAATAATATATCGAGTAATTTTTATGTGAAGCAATTATAATTATTCAATGAATTAATGATAAAATAGCATGTATTATCAGGAGGAAGGTTACGGACTGCTACATCGTAGATCACTGGGTGCGCCGTATAATGTATCGTTCGCCGATGATCAATTGTATAGCATATGATTGATTGTGAGTGCTGCAATATCCACTTTGTCAATATCACAGATTTGTGCTTGTGCTAGAATTGATACATTGATAATAATACTACTGGGTTGTGCAGTACTAGGTATGAGAGATTACTAGCCAAGCCATGACGAAGTAAAATAAAAAGATTGGATAGATAGCCAATGCTTTTCTATCGGATAGCTGTGTGTCAGCTAGAAATGCCGTTGATGCTAAATAAAGTGCGTCAATAAAACTTTGATTAGGAGCGGTTATAGCAACATTGTGAATGCAAAAGAGATCCCCAGAAACTTAATATCAGCATTTTCTACATTTCAATTGATGACATACTGGTACAGGAGTATGAATAATAGACTCACCAAATGTTGACCAGCAAAATCCCAAAATGACTAAGCAAAATCGAAGAACAAACAATCCACTTGTATGTGGAAGCATAAGTACAATTCGACAGCCAATCAGTGCTAGTACAAGAGGAAACATACAATAACCTAATACGCACAGACTTTGAAATAATGATCTAGAATATGAAAAAAATTGTATCATGTATTAACGATATACATCTATCCAGTGGTTATTCGAAAAAAATGATGTAGTCCAATTCTTGCTTAGCTAATATGTAGAGGCGGTTAAAAAATTAGCTGTAAGCTTACATTCTCCCACCAAGTAATTGACTGTTGATAGTTACAATTCCAGCTCCACACCAAAAGATGACAAATACTTCAGCAAATTGTGGTCCTCCATCGTTAACGTTATCAGCTTTGTTACCTTGTAACAGCCTACGAAATGCCAAGTTAAATAATATCTATTACAGTCGTTGCAAGGCTGCTGACTTAACACAATGACAGTATTGTCAAGATACGCGTACATGCTACCGTATATACAAGTACAGTACAACAGTATTGTGATACATTAACAGGGTTAAAATGCATGAAATACCATTTGACAATCCTAACAAACTAACATAGCGAAAATGATTGTATCCAAATTGTCGGTTTCATAACTCAGACAATACTTACAACGCCATAGCCCCACATAAGATTAAAGGTCCCCATAAGTCCCCTAAAAAATTAATAAAGCAGCAGCAATAATATCAGTTGTCATTGCAATACATTGGTTTACGTTTCCTTGACCAATAAATGACTTTCATTTATCTACAGGTGAATCCCATGTAACATATGAAATACATCATGTTGGTAAAGTTAGGATATACGAGTGTGTTTACAATTTAGCAACTGTACCAATATAGTTTGGTCCCACCAATGTTATAGAGGTAGAATACGAACTTACTTCTACTACTGTGACATGGTCAACTCGATTGATTGCAGTTGATCCATCATAATACTGACAAAGTTACGATCTATGCTTAGTACCAATATAGTTTGGCATCCCCAATGTTATAGAGGTAGAATACGAACTTACTTCTCCTACTGTAACATGGTCAACTTGATTGATTGCAGTTGATCCATCATAATACTGACAAAGTTATGATCTATGCTTAGTAGCAATATGGTTTGGTACCACCAATATTATAGAGGTAGAATACGAACTTCTTCACTACTGTAATTTGGTCAACTCGATTGATTGCAGTTGATCCATCATAATACTAATAAAACTTATGATGTATGCTTAGTACCAATATAGTTTGGTACCACCAATACTATAGAGGTAGAATACGAATTTACTTCTACTACTGTAACATGGTCAACTCAATTGATTGCAGTTAATGCATTATTATACTGATAAGGTTATGATCTATGCTTACCATTTTGCAATTGTGCTCATTTATTTTGGCAACATGAATGTTGTAGTGGTATTATACGAATTATTTCTACTACTTGCAGTTTATCCATCATCATGGTAGAAAAAGTATGATCTATGTTTATAATTTTTCGACTGAGCCCATTCATTTTGGCAAACACGCATGTTGTCGTAGCATAATACCAAGTTACTTTCTACTGCTGTAACAGGATCAACTTGATTGATTGTTTGATCTTTACCAATCACTCTTAATTTCTCAAGTTTGTCAATGACACTATGTACTATGTTAAGTTTGGGCTTAATGTAAGAATTGCGGTGATATTGACCTTAAAGTGGCCGTATACGCATATGGAAGGGTTGGCAGTACGATACGTAGAAAGAAATAGTCTGTCGTACTTACAATTTCGCAAGAGGGAAATTTTCTGCTTGACGTAAAAGACGTGGAGAAATTTTTGGCCAATGGATTTCAGATCTCTTAGCTGTAAATGGAAAGGGTATAGTTAATACCTTGTTATCATGACTATTGGGATGGTATGATAGATCTATTGTATGTATCGCTGGTGAAGGAGAACATGTCCTGCTACTACTGTATGGTCAATGGCTACGGGTACTGATTGGTGGCCGCTTTTCATTTCTGTATTATTTCGCCGTATGGAACCAACTGAGTGGACTACTTACTGCAGATCACCATCCAAACTGATAGAAATGATTCGATTCTACTCTATATAATCTATCTGATGGAGATGATACGCGTCTATCTTGTTGTGGTAATGAAAATGAACACAGATCGTTGATGATACAGTCTACCCTTGTTGGCATGCTATTCCTCTTGGCTATGGTATGGATTGCCAGTATTTAAAAAAGAGGAAGAAATTGGAATGACGACCTTTCACCGTCAACTAGAGCAAATGATCAATCGGCTGTATTCCAGTGGAAAGACTGTCCTATGGATACTACAGAGGCAAACTCTTTTTCTATTACCAAGGACTATAGACTGCCGATACTGCAGTACTGAATTATTCCCGATTGGGTGTTCTACAAGCCTATCCTATCCAGACAGAATGACTGTCAATGGCCAAAGCACGTTGAAGGAGTTTTACTACATAGTCAAGGAATTTTAATCGATCCATTGCAAGAAATAGTCGACTTGAATGCAGCTCTTTTCTTCCATCCATAAACTGTACTTACGAGTGTTTGCGATACTGGTTCGTCGATGGTGTCGAAATGCGATTCATCGACTTGATGATCACCATGGACACGTTGACTTTCTTCGTCTTCATCGCTATCACTATGATCAAAACGCGGACTAACCGGTCTTGGTGATGCCATTGGCACGACGTGAATGATCAATTACGTTGAAGGATTGAAGAATACCACTCGAATTTGCCTTCCTCGCACTTTGCTACCAATGGCTTGATTTTGGATCAAGAAGGAGGCGAAAGATGGCAAGAGGGGAACTGGAGCCACAGCCTTTGGACGTCCAGTCGGTATTCCAAATTGCTACATAGGACGTCGTGTCTGAATCCGCTTAATCCCTTACTAGTGCTAGTATAGGGCGATCATGTGGACGTGAAGCAGAAGCGACTCAATACCCTTACAACGCTGATCTGGTCTGGCAATGAAGAAATCCGAGTTCGCACATGCGCAATGCAAAGCCTAATGGAGAATGTCCAATTGTCCATGTACATTTTACAATGTACAGTATGGCAGAGTGAACTTTTGCCACGGTGGCAACTTAGCCATACTGTACAGATCAGCTTACAGTACACAGTACAGTACTGTACAGTACAATACAGTATGTACTGTATTGTTTGTACTGTACTCTGTACTGTACAGGACTGACTGAGAGTACCATCCTACAGTACATGGATGACAGTACAACGTGATCCTACTGTACAGTATTCGTTATTACAATTTTTGCATCAATTTGTTCAAACTGGATCGCACGCAAATGCATGCCTTTAATACGTATCAGGTAACTTTCTATAATAAGAGACCTATGTGTATTGGAAGGTTTATAACGAATGGTCTTTTTTAGAACGTTTTACTCCTAGTTTATACTGTGTGATTCAAATGCAATGGAAGAAAACGCATCACATTGTACTGTACTTGAAACTAAGAAATGGCTGAGATGACGTAATCGATCTGACTATGGATCACACTTTCCAGTACAGTACAATGTACTGTACACTGTAGACTACAGTACTGTGTACTATTCTGTTCAGTGTGCACTGTGTGCAGGCGACTGGTCAGTGGTCACCCTACAGTATGTCTATGTACTGTTTCATACCTATACCAACATGGCATACAGTACACTGTCTTAGTATGTTTGTTGCACAGTCCGATGGACATGCCTGTAAAATCCTGAAGGAAATGAAGCCGTCAATAGCAGGAACAGTACTCAGAGCTAATTGGTTATGACGGTCATTTTGACCATCATGGATCGACTGACTCTACGAATTACATTGTACAGTACAGTACTGTACCTGTAATGGATCCCATTTTACAGTACAGTACACTGTACTGTACTACTGTACGTACTGTATACTGTACTTGAAAGAGAGAAAGGATTGATAGAGAGAGTGGACGTACAGTACAGTACAGTACTATAGTCGATGCAACCCAATGAATTCCATTTTACAGTACTGTACTGTACACTGTCGAGTGTACTGTATACTGTACACTGTACACTGTTTACAGTATAGTACTGTAGATTGTACTGTACACTGTACTGTACAGTACATGAAAGGGAGAAAGGATTGATAGAGAGAGTGGACGTACAGTACAGTACAGTACTATAGTCGATGCAACCCAATGAATTCCATTTTACAGTACTGTACTGTACACTGTCGAGTGTACTGTATACTGTACACTGTACTGTACACTGTTTACAGTATAGTACTGTAGATTGTACTGTACAGTACACTGTACTGTACACTGTAGATTGTACAGTACATGAAAGGGAGAAAGGATTGATAGAGTGACGTACTGTACAGTACAGTACTGTTAGTCGAGGCGAACAATGAATCCCATTTTACAGTACTGTACACTGTCGAGTTACACTGTATACTGTACACTGTACACTGTAAAATCCTGAAGGAAATGAAACCATAAACAGCTGGAACAGTACTCTGAGCTCATTAGTCATTATGGCCATTCTGACTATGTTGGATCGATTGACTCTATGCTAACCCGAGCTTACCCCGGTACCTCTTGATTGATTGATTTATTTGTTTATTAGAATATCGTATCAGCCAAGACAAAACTATTGTCAATAGTTGAGTTTACGATTGTAGGTCCGAGTTTGCTTGTGGCTTGAAAAGGGATTCTTAATATTGATCTTGTCCTTGGTTTTGCCCCTATCCCCTCCCATTGGAACCATTGAAAGGTTGTGTCTCTCTGCTGCTGACTGCCATTGATTGATTGCACGGAAAGAAGGATGAGATTGGTTATTTTAGACGATTATGACAAAGCCAGTTTATGGGCTGCTAAGTATATTATGAATGCCATCAATGGATTCAAACCCTCTCAAACCAAATCCAATTTCGTCTTGGGATTACCAACAGGTAATTCACTATTGAATTTGTCTCTTCCATTTTCCTATACAGTGCAAGTGTCAAGGATGCATGATAGACAGACCGCGAGCTCGGTCCCCCAAAATGCTACTTGTTAGAAGTAGCTTTGGAGGATGATGATGGGAGTTGTGTCTTTATTCCATTCAAGACTTGTTCGATCGATCAAACATCTCTGTCAAGACAGTACTAACTAAAGAATACCTTGCACCAGTGGAGAGGCCTAAAGTTCACGACCTTTTTTGTGCAGTCTAGGTTATGATTGATAGTAATAGACGATAAAAGCCATCATCATTATTCTCCTAGCCATCTAAAACGGGACTAGCATTCTTTGCCTTGATGAGAGAGATGTCACTGATTGAACCTATTGTGTACGGTATAAAATTGAATCCAGTGTCGATCCTCTAGGTTTAGCCAGTGGCCTAGAGTACGATAGCTTAAATACAACAAATCGCTGCAAAATCATGGGACAGTGTATAACTTGAATGAGGTAGGCTATCAGAGCCCTCTCAATGCTGTCCTCAAACAACTGATCGGTCAAGTCTTTTCATTTCGTTATCTGTAGTTGACTTTGACATAGCCCTTCCATCATAACGATAGTACTGGACGGATAACACCTAGCAATCGACACCCTTTGCCTTGTCAACAATAACCTTTGTTAAGCATCCAACATCAAAGTAGATAAGTTGAACTGGAGAATCGAAGATGAGTGTACAGTATATCAGTCAAATGACACAGAGGATGATTTGAACATCCCATCATTGAAAAGACTCCGTTCAATAATATCGCCATGTTGAACGCCATAAAGAAATAGGCATGCTCATCATTGATCATCGTGTCTGATTACGTGTCCTTCATTTGATAGGTAGCTCACCACTTGGAACATACAAATACTTAATACAATTTTTCAAGGAAGGTATGGTATCATTCAAGAATGTCATCACCTTTAATATGGACGAATATGTCGGCTTACCTCGGGATCATTGCCAAAGTTATCACACTTATATGTGGGACAATTTCTTCAAGCACATCGATATCAATCCTGCCAACGTCCATATCCCTGATGGAAATGCTCCTGATCTTATCGTCGAGTGCAACAATTACGAAAAAGCAATTGATCAAGCGGGTGGTATCGATCTCTTTCTTGGAGGTGATTGACTTATACCTTAAATTTTATTTTCAATCAACGCAACATCTCAGTCAGTAGTAACGTCTTTTCCACAGGCAGTAGAAGCGGACTCGATCATCATTAGAATGAATCGATGGTTGTTTAGTGATGCATGCAGTTAGGGACCACATAGTCGTAGTCCATAGATAATCATAAAGTGATACATTACAGTGTGGCTACGTACAGTATATATTGTACAACAGGCAGTAGTCAATCATGGATAGAATAGCTTAGTAGTGTGGGTAATATGCTGTTTAACGTGTATTTTTATGCTAGCCATATCTTACCTGTTTTCCCTATAATGATATAGGAATTGGCACTGATGGCCACATTGCTTTCAATGAGCCTGGATCTTCTCTGGCATCGAAAACTAGATTAAAAAGCCTAGCTGCCGATACGATCGCGTCCAATGCTCGCTTCTTCGAAGGAGATATACAGAAAGTTCCCAAGATGGCAATAACCGTTGGGGTTAAAACGGTTATGAGTGCCAATGAGGTAGTAACTAGACTAACTGGATTCAACGAAAATAGTTTCAAAAATGCTACTGCTGTAATTTTAGCTTAGATCAACGACTAACTGGCCAAAATTTTCAATTCTAAAATCTTTCAGTATGTCGCGCTATTTCGTTTTGTCTTATTTTATCCCTTTCTCCTAGGTCATGATAATTATATGTGGAGGTCATAAATCATTCGCATTGCACATGGCTATAGAGGAAGGCGTTAGCCATATGTGGACAGTATCTGCTTTTCAACAGCATCCCCGCTGTACATTTGTGGTTGATGAAGATGCAACCTTAGAACTGAAAGTGAAAACGGTTAAATATTTCAAAGGATTGATGGAAGTGCATAACAAGCTGGTGGAACCCCGAGTACCTTCTAGTTTTACCGCTCCTTAAGATAACTCATCTTGTTCCCTGTTACTTTGACCTTTCAACATAAAAGTAGTCAGTAACTCAAAATGACAAATTAATTAATTATTATAATTATTTATACAATCTACCCTTTACTAACCTTTCATTGCGTTATCGATATACAGGGCATACTATGTCTCTGGCTTAGTCTTGCGTATTTTGCACTAACCAAAAGTCATTGTGTTTCTAAAGTGTTTCTAAAATTGCTAATATAGCAAAAATTGGTGCATTTTTCTTTCATTTAGCTCTCGAGTCATTCACGTTATCTACTGACTGTATCCTATGTGTATTTGTTGAAGTAGGACCGCTTTCGTTCGGTTATAAACTGTACTTTAGCTACAAATTGCAAAAGCTCTTTTTGCTATTATTCGTCCGAATCATATTGAACCTTATTTCTAGTAATTCCCTAGTCAACTAAAGGAGTGAGTTACTAAAATTCGGTTGGTAGCTTAATTAATATGATTCAATACGTGTATTTAATTAAACATAGTAACAATACTAAATATAAATTCGTCACGAGTTTTGTTAATCAACTAAAATAAAGTATTTTGCTGATACTGTTTCACGTCAGCATCTTTTTTTTTTTCTGGAGATGTACATTAACCGGCTCTTTCCTTTGGTAGATTTTGTTTTAATTTGATCCAATCTGTAGTATAATTCTTAAAGGCAGTTTATGATACATGGACAGCTACTTTCGTTGGTTAATGGTATGAGTAAATATGTTAAGATTTATCATTGAAAAAGCCAAACTGTATGAGATCGATTGGTATGAATTGGATAAGCTTAAATCATGTGCAGTGTTGACCATATTTATACGCAGGAGTATTCATGTTCAGCCCGTCAAAAAGAAAGCTTGTGTTGGTATATGCACAATCGATCTCACCTACCAATGTACGCTACATTATCATACCGATTTTGGACACAGTGCGCGTTACGGAGTAGGCCTGGATTAGTTACCATCATGCTGTGTACGAAGACTTTTCAAGTTGCTGCTGCTGTAAATATCTCCGTTCATGATCTCTTTGGAGATTAGAGAATATCAAATGGTGTTGCTATCAAGGCTGAGATTCGATAATGTACTCGTGACTCCGAACATTACATTAATCACCGCATTACTGTTAAAGCAGTAGAGCAATGTGATTAGTAATAATATCTTACTTGCAAACCATGAAATTGAGCCTTGTTTTAAAATTCCTTACAATCACAAATTCTATCCAAACTCGATCAAAGTACAGTATAACTGCATTGTAAATATACCGCAATTATAGTAAGGATAGCATTTACGATGTGAGCTAACCGCCTCTATAAGCATGGCTACAAAGTGCTAGAAAATATCCAATGATGCGATATCTTTTCTAAGCTTAAGAATCGATATTGGAGACTCAGTATCACACTATTCCGATATTATTGGATCTACGGGTATACAGGAATAGATCATCAGTAATACTGATTTCTTAAAGATTAAATTATGTGTTGAAACAAGTCATGTTTAAGATCACAAAACCGGGTATAATCACATCTTTACGACACAATATACTACTCTACAATTAGATTTATATACAATCTAGGCTCAATACAATAGAGGAAAATTTGTGTGAATTTGTACAGTACACATGAAATCGGGCTGTATTTTCCCTTTCACAGACAACATATCCCTCATGACGATCTATATTTATTCCAGTGAATTTTGACAGTTTGGGGGCTAGCCGCTACTGCTAGCATATGATACTTGCTTATCGGATCTGAAAGTTTAATCAATGCATTCTATCTCTGAATATCTGTACTTCACACATTAATCAGAGTGGTATTTGGTATGTATGAACACATATATATTCAACCAGTTAAGAATTAAAGTACAATCTAACTTATTGCATCATATTCTAAGCCGTAATAAGGATACGCATCTTATATATATATATATACACTATCTCCAAACACATATTAACCTACACAATACCAAGTAGGTTATAGCTCAAGTTTCAATTAAATATTTATATAGTAATATACGCGTATACATAGATATATAAATATTTCCAATTAGTTTTTCCATGATCACACAACGATACATTTATTACATATAGAGGTACTGTGCTCGTATGTAAATTTGAATAACGTTATTTAGTATAGGTTAGCCGCTACGATACTACGGTAGAGTGCTAGCAAATACATCCTAAATGACATATAGATGTATGCAAATTAATGAATCATTGCAGTATTCCATATCGACAGAAATGGAATAGTATAGAAGTCGTTAACAGTAAAACAAAATTAATATCATGATAATGACAGTATGAATGGAACTGGGTTCTATTTTCCATTTCATAGACAATACTCGCGGTCATTACTTTTGACAACCAAGGCTAGCCGCAGCGATACCGCAGACATAGCTGCAAAGTGCTAGTAAATATATCCTAAATTATATCTGCAGTATGCAGATTTGAATAAAATTATTCACTATAGTATTCCATATCTACAAAAATAGAATAGTATAAAAGTCGTCACAAAAAAAGAAATAATAGTATGCTTATGGCAGCATGAATAGAACCGGATTCTATTTTATATTTCATAGATACTATAGCGATCATTACTTTTGACATCCTAGGTTAGCCGCTACGATACCACAGACATAGTTGAAGAGCGCTAGCAAATATATCCCTAAAGGTGTTCTTCTCTATTCTCTCGAGTGTTCTGTTTCAATAGCAGATAATCAGCGAGATGTAATGCAGTAATATCGGTAAAGTCGGATCAAGAAGCTAGGCCTTCCACGAAAGCTACTCTACATGACGCCAGGAAGCGGCATGGGCGATATCTATTCCTCCATTTTTCATTAACAAGATGACCCATTCTTGTATGAGCCTTGTCGTTATGGCCCATTTCAGATAGTCTGTCTCTCATTTAAGAAAGACTATTAAAGTATCAAGATTAAAGCATGCCATGAAAGACTTTAAGGGGAATAGTTCATAGATGATGCTTTTTTTAAATGCCCAAGAACAAGTCTATTGATACTAAAAGTGCTTTTAGACTCCATACCAATACCTCGATTGCCTTCATCCATCGCTAAATGGGATTGACATAAAGCTAGATGTATATTCAATCTACCGATTAAATCGTCTCATTAACTAGAGTAGAGAACACCATGATGGAGTAAATTACTTTTGCAGTTTCAAAGGGGCTCACAACAGCTTTAGCACATGATATGATCGTCATCAACCGGCGACAAGTCAAGAGATTGATGCATTCTATCGTCTAGGCATATTACGTCGATCCAGTGTCAACAATTTTAGTCAGTCGTGCGCGTGGACTTGCCTACGTTAGTAATTAAATTAAGACGTAAAAGGTCGAAATTTCTACTTATTACAACTAGAATAGTCAAACTTTAGCCTTCAGGTTCAAGTCATAATCGACTATTGCTTAATCCTAGATAGGGTGGAGGAAAGTATTGATTTATTGACATTGATTGTTAGGGTTAGACGTACGGTAATATTTGAACAAGCATTCTTTTAAGCTGGCCTAAAAGGCATAACAATATATTGACAATGATTTCTTCAATCATGTTGTAATATCCCACATATGAATAGCGGTTCAAGCTGCTATTAGATCTTCTATTGATTTTATGAGCAATTCCTGAACCATCTATGAATTTCAATGGCTATTTTGGATACTCACGTCATGATTGAAACGTAGCAGGCGTTCTCACCGGGTGTTCCAATGTGATTGGATCTAGTGTCGTGATATAATAGGAAATAATGATGGTTACGTATGGATATTGATTCTATCCTCTATGCATTTTCCTTCTCCATCGATCAATAACTATAGTATGATTATTATACCCATTGAACCATTTATAATGCAGGAGACATGTAATTATTATATACTGTTCTGTAAAATACTAAAATAATTATAATCATCCTGGACTATCTCTAAGCACTACCAGGTATTTCTAGTAGTCCTTACTCTTTCCCAATACGGACAAAAGTAGAAGATTTTACTCCTGTTCCAAGCTTCATTTATGTTATTATTAACAACACTATACTAGTATCAACAAAGATAGAAAATTCTATCTCATCTAATTCTCATCAAGGATTATTCAATCCTCATTCTTCTATTAGTGACTCCAACCCCCTTTACTGTTGACATCTCTATCCTAGTTTTGACTAAGACAGTGAACTTAAGTAGAATAATGTCCATCCAATGCTCAGTCTTTCTAACCACAAATATTGATCATGCCAAGTAAGAAGATCAATAATAACATTGATGATGGCAAGATGGGCAACATGGGATTATTTCCATAAGTCAACAAAATGAATTGTCGGCCAAGGCTGATTCTTTAAGACTACACGCAGACTGATTATACGTCAAATTTTCTTTCATGCACGTAAATAAATAAAGGAATAGCTATTCTCCAGCTTTTTCTACCATGACCTGATGAGCATCATTGCATTATAAACTAATTGAACTGATTAATCTATTGACTGCTTTGATGATTGGCATCTTGTCCTCCCCACCTTGTTCCTTATTGTTCCCCTTGACCGTCCATTGATATCATGGTATTGCAATGACGATAGCATAATCCATTTTACTAATCAGCTTGACACTGATTATTTCAATCCACTTTCAATTGTATTTTTATCCTACTGCAGGCTTTACTAACATTCAATTTACTGGAAAGACAATCTTATAACAACGTTGATCCTTTCCTACCGAAGAGATGATCTTCCTTCTAATCCTGTCGTGATGACAATATTGAGCTAATGGTCTATTTTCCACTCTATCCTGGAGTGATAATTTTCATCTATGGCGTTATTGATAGATTGAAGATGAATGTCCACTAGGTCTAATCCTGATCTAATATTGCTTCTATCCTTTCTCATCACTATATACCATATTACTCCATTACTTTCGTTATTGATCTCTAAGATTGTTATCATAACAAGAATCAAAACTGTGCATGAACTGTCTGTCCTCTAGAGTTTGCCCCATTTTACTAATCTACAAGGTAAATCATCTTGATCAATGGATCCTTTTTCCATTTTGCTTTAGTTTTGGGTGCCTGAGCCATTAACTATCTGTCTTTTTCAGTGAATGATATTTTGTCAACCGTGACTGTCAATTACCTTGACCAAGTCCCTATTATGGAGTTGTATTTTACTTTAGTTTTACAGCCTTGTACCAATCTTTACTTCCAATACTCATAATCATTTACTCGATAGCCACCTTTTAACTTTGCTTTAGTCTTGGATATTTGTAGTCGTTCGCTATACAGATGTCTTCAATCGTTAACGATACTTTATCCGTCGTCCCGGTCAGCCATCTTGATCAATTTAGCCTGGTTGTAATTTTCATTTTACTATGGTACTGCCTTCCTCTAGTGGTTAACTAGATATCTTCTACTATTAATAATACTGTACTAGTCTATCCGATAAATCATCTTGACTAATTTACCCCATTGCCATTTTAACTTGCTTTAGTTTATTGTCTTCTATTATTAATAATACTTTACCTATCTACATAAATAATCATCTTATGATCTCGATTGATCTAGCCTATTCAAATTTACATTTTGATTTCGTCTTCGATACGCAGTCGTTCGCTCGGTGTCTTCTACTGTTAACAATACTTTATCAATCTATGCTATTGGTTTAATGTTACTTCCGTTTTCGATATCAGGTGTTTAGTAATATATTATCTGCCCTTAACGATACTCAGTATCTTACGCAATTGGATTTTAATTTTGCTTCCATCTTCGATACTTAATCGTTAGCTATGTATCTGCTAGTGTTGACGACACTTTACCAATCTACACGATGAATCGTCTTAACTAATCCAGCCTGCTGAAATTTTCAATTTGCTTTAGTCTTGCATGCCTAGAGTCGTTAGCTGTATATCTTCTGCTATTAACGCTGCTTTACCGAGCTACGCAGTCAAATGGTCTAGACCAATTGACTTTAGTCTTCCGAACTTGTAGTCGTTAGCTACTAGTCGACTACTGGCAACGATGCATTACTAATCTGCTATGTTAGATATTAATTTTGTTGTAGTCTTCGGCACCTATAGCCACTCGCGATAGATCTTCTACTGTTAAGTATCCTTTACCAATCTATACAGTAAATCATTATGACCAACCTAACCTACAAGAATTTTCAATTTGCTTTAATCTTGGATACCTAAAGTACTTAGTTATATGTTTTCTATCCTTAACGCTATTTGCCAATGTACTAGGTCTTGGATACCTAAAGTGGTTAGTTATATGTCTTTTACCGTTAGAACAACTTTACCAATCTACTAAGGTCGTAACCAATGGATTCTATTGGATTTTAATTTGCTTTAGTCTTCCCTAACTGTAGTCGTAAACTATAGGTTTTTTTACCGTAAATGACGCTTTACTTCTCGACCACGTTGGATTTTAATTTTACTTTAGTCAAGAATAGTTGTGACCGTTAGCCCTTAGTCTTCCACAATGAGTAATGCTTTGTTAATCAGTCATGTTAAATTTTATTTTATTGTAGTCACTAGCCGTATATCTACTAGAGTTAACTACACTTTACTAATCTATCTGGTCAATCATTTTGACTGATCTATCCTATTTAATTGGACTTTTATTCTAGTCCTAGACATATTTATTAATTCGCACTGTCAATAGTTTTATTTTCCGGTATACTCTAATTCTTAGCATTTATCTTTTTCTCTTTTCTATTCTTTGTCATTTCTTAAATAACGGATATAAAAGCTGTTGTATTCTTTTTCAAGCAAACTATTCAATATGATGTCATACTTCCCTTGCTGACTTGTTTATTTTCAAAATTTTTTTTAAATCATAGAAGAAATAAAGCATGAGTACGCCAAAGAGTGATCGACAACTTGGACGAATTAATCGAAGTTTACCATTAGGATGGAAGGCTTTAACTTTAGAAAATGGACGCGTTTACTATGTCAAGTAAGATTTTATATCCATAGAAAAATGATTAAAGTTGGACCCCTGATCTAGTTTATGAGAGAAAATCGGATACCACCCAAAAGGGAAGAAATAGATTTTAATCTTTCCTTGACAATGTCTCCTAGACGGCAAAGGAAGTGGAACGTAAAGTGAAAAATTAGTTCTTTTCTCCAAATTATTTGCGTTTCTGTTCAAAGCTACGCCGATTGTTGTCTCCATTATAAAGATTTCATCACTTTACAAATGGATCGACAAAATTATTTTATTTATTGACAGCTACTCATAATCGCCAAACTACCAATATCATGGTAATATATGGAAGACGCTATAACACGTTTTCCATAAAAAAATAAATCTAATAACCCCATTTTACTCATTATTGATTTCTTATAGAAAGAAGACGAGTCAAACGCAATCTAAAGCATGATTTGATTCTTAAAAGCTTATTATTTCAAGTGTTGCTGTTTCTTTGATTTACAGCCATGAGCAATAACTATTTCGATAACTTAAACTTTATTTGCAAATATAATCGAATCCTGTGACTCAGTTTTCTTATGATTTATTTCCGGTAGAAGAGGAGATGAATCCAACGTTGCTCTTCTAAATATGAATGGATTCTTAAAGTTTATTATTCCAAGGGTTTCTTGTTTCTAATTTGCAACAATAAATCAAAAATATTTCTCAATCTAGATTTGTTTGCAAATGTAAATGAATTGCATAACTCAATTTCTCTCATGATTAACTTCTTATAGAGTAAAAGGTAAAATAAACGTCTTTCTTAGTACTAAAAGATACGTTAAGCAATGTAAATCCAAGGGTTCTTTGTATTTACTTTGCAGCCATGATTAATCTCTGCAACTCGAGCTTTCCTTGTCCTAAGCGTCAAATTGTTCCTCAAGTCGCTATTAAACCTCTGTTGAATCTATTAATGAATACTACAGATTTAAATAATCCTAGTATGATAATGTTGCTAAAGCCTAACAAGAATCCATGCCACCGGGTTGCTTTCTTTCTCACATGCTGTTTCTACACCTACAATAGCTCAGGTGGATATAAACCTATGTCCAGCAGAGCAGAACCTAAAGAGTAATCCTACATTTTTATGTTCATTCCTCAATATGCTCCACGTTCATAATATTTCAAGATGGCTGTACTCAATTGATTTCATATCATAAGGAATGTTACTATCGGCTAATATCAAAGTATAGTATAGATGGAGAATTTTTCTAAGCCAACAAATGAAGTTCAATTCAATACTAATAGAAATGGATACTCTAAATTATCTGTCAGCTGGCTTAAATAATATACTTTACAGTAGACACTGTTAAAGGTTTTCCCAACTAAGAGTATCGTTTGCTATCAAGGATACTCTCAATTTCAAAGCCATAATGAAACGGACGATCATTCAGTTCTCTGATTCTCTTTTTCAAGTACTTAACGATATCTTAAATGGTCATGGTTGCTGGTCACATAGCAGCATCATTTTTATATTAACCTCCAACAATCGAATGGGGTAAAATTTCCATATGGACCCTAATCAAACGTTCTGTTTATTACATTGAAGAGCAATTGTGAGCAAAAATCATGTAATTACAATATACAAGAAGGTTTATCCCTATTTTTGACAATACCCAATTATTGAATTGATTTTGATACATATTAGATGATTTAAAAGGGCAATGCCAAAATGTTTAATTCCAGTTTTGGATAAGTAAAATATATAGCTTAATTTCAGCTATCTACTGGCTTGCTAGAGCTTTTCAATAAGGCAATATTTCAAACTGCTAGAGAATTCTAGAAAGGAATAATGGTAGTGACAATAAAATTGAAGTCCTGTTGCGGATTATTTTCTTATAAATACAATCGTTATTTGAACGCTTTACCAGCATAAAGCTAACGATTAGAAATCTCGAAATAGTTTATGTTAAAACATTATACGGATAGAACTGCGGTCATGAACAGGAAGAAGGAAGTAGAACAGTTTATGACTAAATTGACTTATGTGAATTTCGAATTAATTTTTACTTTGTTTTGAATACTTTCTATTATCAGCTATGTTACTCGGAAAAGCCAATGGTATCCTCCGCCAGCACAGTGGCGTAGTAAAGAGAATTTACCTTATGGCTGGGAAAAAGCACAAGACCAATACGGATCCACCTACTATATCAGGTTAATAATTGATAATTGGGCCAGCAGATTTATTTAAAGTGTTCAGATAAAGAGGCATTTTCCATTATTTTTACTCTATTTCTAGCCATCTACTACAAATAACTACATCAGAAAAGCCGCTGCTTTCGTATAGAAAGGTAAAGTGGAATGCTCATACTCTTTCCAACTACCAGCTCTCAACCAATCATAAAATAATTTTAAAATTGGAGATTATCCATCAAAGTTTCCTCATATTTACTCAAATTGAATGAGTTAATTGATGAAGGATAATTTTATATTCTCAATATACCACTACTTAATTATCTAGAAAACTTCTTTAACAAATACTAAACATAAAGAAATGAGGCAAAGAACATTCACTGAAGGCAAATTACGAGTTCGATTTGAAAGAGCTGTCGATATTAAACATTTTGAAGATAGTAACGTAAGTAGTTACGATTTCATATCAGCTTGATGCGAATTTTCAAAGTATATGCTGAATTCTAATTTTTCTGATGGTATTCATACGAATAGGCAGCTCAAGAGACCGAAAGATTGCCTCGAGTTGATGGAATATTTCGAGTTCATTTATACTCTGAACATATTTCTAGTTCTTTCAAAATAAGTCAGAAATTAACTATTGAGGTAGGAATTTTAAAGATACATCCTTTAGCTAATAAATCGGCTAATTGAATTGGAGGTCATTTTGATTAAATAATTCATCAACGGAAAATTTTGGTATATTATCTTATGTAAAATTTCTTTATCGATACTCGTTAAATTTTTGGCCCATCTAACATCGTATGAAAAAGAAGTATAGATTTCTGCTCTCATAAATCTAGAGTGCATTTTAACATTGGTCAATATTAATATTTAAATGCACTTTCCTTCTGAAAATTACCTTATTTGCTTACTAGCGTACCCTAGTTACCTTTGCAGTCTCTACTCACTTACCAAGTCAACGATAGATGAGCAATTATTAAGTATAACTACTTTATAAGCTTTCTGCTTCTTATTAAGTAGAATAGATAAGCTACGACTATGCTGAAGGGTTTCTTCATTGAAGGTATCAGATTTATATACCGCTATCTAACACAGTTATCTTTAAAGTTCGGCTTAATAAGCATTACAGACAGGCAAACCAATACCTTGCATGTCCGTTGTAATCTTTCCATATTTACTGTTGGCTACTACTACAGAGCCATCGACTAGATCGTCTAGCATAGTCATCTACAGTTTTTACTAGTTTATCATGACATACAGATACATAACTATCAAAAATCATCACAACCCATAATTTCCCTTTATTGTGATAATGTGTAAAGATTTACAATAACCGACTAACAAAGCTGATTATCGTTTCATCTACTTGTCATATGTCTCAGGTATACAATAATAATTAAAACCTTAATTAATTTGTAAAGCCACGTACTTATCATGTATTCCCGATATATAATGACAATAACTAACGAGTACGCTAATCAACGATATATCATTATTAACAATTTATAATAATTATTTATCATCGTGATCTGTAATTAATCTCATTGCTATCGATGACTACCCGTATACAGTTGTCAAATCTAATCTAGTTTTATCTGAACAAATGAATTTTTTTATTTAGTATCATATGGTAGTGCATATCTTAAAGCTTTATCTATTGCATAAATTGTTTCAAAAGATTAGATTAGCCATCATACTATCCTAATTCTATTTCTATTGCCTGATGCAATGAACTAAGAAATAGAGAAAACTTTACCTTTCCGGTTTATTGACAGGCCTATCTATGTAGTTACAGTCAAAGCAATCATTCTACTCTTCAATTACGCTTAGTGCTTAGTGAAGAATTGTAATCAGGGTCATTTTTTATAAACAAATTGACGCCTGTCTATGTTTATTTTCATAAAAATGCTATATGATATTGCAATTAATACCAGCATAAGAATGAAACAAGTATAAATGCGCGTATGTAAAATAACCATTTTCCCTTAATTCGTTTAATTATAGGCAATCACTCTTACATTATGTAAACGATTTGAAATTCGGCCGGAAAATCGGCGATATTTTGCTATTATGAGAAAGGAAGGTCCGATTAATTATTTATACTTTGTGATACCTCAAACCAACATTCATGATGTAAGTAGAGATTCATATCTCAATTGTATTCTAGGTATTTAATTTTTAGATCAATGCTACTAATTGTTTACAAATAATGCATAAATGCTCTTGACTTTTATATTGACAGTTGACACAAAAGGTGCGTTATGATTCATCGGATTTTTACTTCAGAATGGCGTAAGTAGTTCGACGTAGGATAATTCATCGTACACTATCTATTCAATAAATTATGTTTCGCAGTCTATTCCTAGTTCTATGATTAGTAATAAATCAAAGAAACGATAATTTAGAGATGATGTAATTCGCTATGGGAATTTTTACAGGTTTATTCCTACTGATTTAGAAGCCTTAAGACAAACCGACGCTAATACTTACAATTATTTATTTCATCAAGTTAGTTCTGAAAAATAGAATTTCAAAGAACAGAATGAAATTTTGTTTTATGTTGATCAATAAATTGCGTCAAATGGAATTGCCTTAATAATATTAATTAATTGATATAGACAAGAATGGATATTAAAGATGGTCGATTTGCTCAGGAAATGGATTTGGATATAGCTATTGATATTGGAATAGTTCTACATCAGTATCATTTTAAAATGAATGATGATCGATGTCAGACGAAAGGAAAATCCAAGAGTAAACTGGAAAAGTACGACGCTTTCATAATATCGATTTAATTGATTCATTTATTTCAAAAATTTAGCTAAGTGAGAGTGCTGCATGATGATAATCCACTAATATATCAGCCATTGAGCGAATAGTATCCCATTTTAAAAGCAAAATATGATAAGATACCTTAGAAACGCATTTGTCTTAGACTCAATGTATTACTTCCTAATTAATTCTATATATGATGTTTCATTATGATTTTATTCTGCAGAGAAGTTGATCTGAAAATATTAGAAAACATAATACCTATTAAAAGGCTTAAAGTTAAAGACTTTAAATGGCGTTGTCGTCGTACTTTAGGGCAAGTTCAGGTGAATGCGCAAATCCAAGCTATCATGATAAATTTTATGCCTAACGGTGATGAAAACTTGATTAAAATTTTATCAACATTAAATCTGTTAAATATTTGATCGTTCACAGGACTTAAGTTGTGAAGATTTAAAATCGTATGTCATGACATTATGCGGAAACATTCGTAATTTTGGTGGTCAATATTATAAGCTTAACTCGGTTGGCATTTTAGAATTTCAAATTAAAATTAATATTACAATTATCAATTAAAAATACCAAATACTGCATCTGCATTCTTTTAGAGTTCCGATAAAATTGTTAAGTTATTAATTGGAAGAAATTGTGGTATTAGTGAAATCGTCCAATCCAATTATCGTAGCGTACGAAGAATTCCAACTTTACGATTTATTACATAATTGACATGATCTATTAGAAACTATTGAAATGACGCGTTCTATTCCGTGTTCTTAGATGAATCGACTAGCATGGTTTCAGCAAGTTACTAGTATTATTGTAAAGCCGACTGGCAAACTATCCTATCAAATAGAGATTCACTTGAATCCTGACGAGGTTTATGAATCACTGAATACTTATTCTTTTTTACTGTAGTGCAGATTATAACTTATGTTCAGCAAAAGTTAATACATGGCGCAAGTTAGTTAGATCGTAAAATTATTGCTAAGTGAAACTAAGATTGAATAATCGTATTTAGTAAAAGCAAGCTTACAATAGCCGATTCCATATTCAACACTACCGCCAATGTTAAGCTTAATTATTTTATTACAGATGTTTACATTTTCTGCAACTAAAGCTGTTACTCAAGATGTTGCTCGAATGATTGATGGATATTGCCAAATTATCAACAATAATACGATAAGTGTAACCAAGTATGAAGTAAACGCAAAATTTCCGCAATCAATTATTCAAGAGACGCAAGGTAAAAATCATTGTATATTACTTTCGATCGAAAATTTAATCCTGTCTATAGTTGCCAAGAAACTTCCTTCTAAATGTACTGCGCTCCTTGCAAATTTTGATCTTAGTCAATGACTGATTTGGTATAACTTATTCGACCACTAAGTGTTACATTTTTGGGATAATAGACTTCAAGTGCTTGATAGATTATTTTGTAAATCTAAAATATCCAAGCAAGTTGTGATTTGAGTCGCATTAAAGCTGATTTAAATTATTTATAGTATTAAATACTTTTAGAAACTTGAATTACAGAAAGATTACCTTGTATACCGATATACTTGTATTTATGGCAATTAGTGCAGATATTATCTTTTATATCTGCTGTAATGGTAGAAACTGTAATCACAATGAATACATCTTATTCAGTTGTACTTAAGAAAAGATGTATTACGGCCTAATTTTATTAAAATTACCGATAAACTATACTCAGTTTTATTATTATGTAAATGGTAATGATAATCCGACTAGAGCTAAGAAAAGAAACCGTTTCAATCTTTAATCTTAACAGCATTAATTTACAGATTGCCGTAAGTTTGTCTATAAGTAATTTTTAAAGTTGACTTTATTACTGTCATCTACACTACCGATTTTACCCTTTTTGGATTGAAGTAATTTTAGAATGTTTCATTATAGATCTTAGTTATGATCCTAAATTGTCGAAAGATTGTCTTCTAAATCAGTCATGTCGTTTAATCGTTGCTTACGTAACATTTTAGATTACTAAATGTACGTTAAGGAAAATTAGCATTTACTTTTATTCGTCGCAAATGATGATCATGGTCAGTATCAGAAGTAATATAACTTGTTTCTATTACCACTATAAATTCTTGGTAAATCAGTTTAAAGCTGACATCAATTTGAGTCATTACAAGATCGTTATAATGCAATACAAACTCTGTTATCAATTTTACGGTAGAAAATCATTGTCAATATTTATTAAAATCTTCACTACTACATGGAATTAACTATACTCGTCACTTTTATGAGCTTACTATCCTACCAATATTGTTGTTTTCATTTAATATGATTTATCATTTCATAAAATTTTACTTCTTTAAGCATCATGACGTCAGTATTTTAGTCTAGAACTTTACTCAGGGATAGTATGGTGAATTTAATGCTCAGCAGGTTCAAAATCAGAATTGCTTTATTCATGCTCTTCTAAATTCCAACCCTAGTCTATTATTCCAACATTGGATAAAAAAGAAGTGATGGTTGACATATTGGTGTAAGCAATGAGTTAATTGTTTAATTATTTCGTCTATTATTGACTATTTTCTGTCCAGCCCCGATTCCTGGATATCATGGTAGCCATTGTCTATTTCCTGAGTTTTGGTCCTACGTGCACTCAACGGAAAACAATGACGAAACGTATACAACAAATTTTAAGGAATTGCCAACATTTACATTCGAAGCATTGTCTCAAACAGGTACACTCTTGCCAAGCCTTAAACAATTGATTTCAATTTTCTCGATACCTTGTTAAGAGATTTGAATACAGTCTCGATAGATGCATAGTGTTGACATAAGCAACGATTACGCACGGTACTGTTTCGGAAAATTGACTAATGACAATCAAATTGTCGTTCCCACTCGTATTGCAATTTTTGAATCAATTAGTTTGTTAGTCAGGGGTGGTCTTGTTAGAACCACTAGAATCATAGTATTTTTATTCCTTTTAAAGACTGGAACAACAGTAAAGTTAGTGACTTTGCTCTCAGGTAAAAATCGAAGTTGGTAAATTAGAAGCGTTGATTGGGTCTTCGCTATTAATAGGCCATAATACAATTGCATGCAATTCTAATCAAACAATTATTAATAAGCAGATGGAATCCATTATATAAATGCGTGTGTATGCTTGAGAAAAATCATTATTCCATATATGTGGTGTATAGAGTATGATAGGCAAGGCCAGTCTTTACCCTCCAGTTAATCTAACGCCATTATAATCTGTCAATTATTTATTTCATATAACGTTGATGCCCTTCAATTTCAGTTCAGTTACCCAAAAGACATCCAACCTATCCACCACCAGAACATTCAATCGATGATGTCGACATAATCAATAGCCAAGGAGCAAATTTTAAAATGACAATGGATTCGCGATCTGGTTCATCGGACACACTTGATATGGATATCTCAACACCGTCATCGTCAACTTCTTCGCCAGTTTCGCCTTTATTGTTACACATACAACATGGTCATGAGATTCCGCTGAACTCTGATTTATCTCCATCACAAACAAGTCAGACTAATGGTAGAAAATATCATTTATCTAAATACACTAGTTTTGACAGTAATAACGAAGTGCAGGAGAATTTATAAGTCAAAATTCGAACTGCTATCCGATATTCAGACTCATTATTTTCGTATTAATACAGCAAATAAACACATATCAAATGGAATCTCGTGTACGTTAATAGCTGTAGACGAGATTCCATTGCATAAATTGACCCGCACTCTGTTAACAGTCTATTTTAATAAGATAGTTGATAAATTGGATGAAATGATGATTAAGCTATAGACGAGGATCAATAAAATAATGATAAGCTATAGACGAGAATCAATAATGATAAGTTATTCGTAAATATCGATCGAAATCAACTATCTTAATTATTTTCTTTTAGATGTAGAAAGCAATTCAGAGCTATCTACTTCGCCTAAAGTGTATACAAGTACCACAATTTCTACAGAAGAAGTTCAAGATAATGTTAATGACACAGCTCGCAAGAGGCAAAATATGGAATTGCCGTCGTGCTTGTCTACTACACTTAATATTCTACCATCTCCATTAGCTTCACCTGCACCCGGTAAACCGTTTGAATATAAAGACTTAGTATTGCCCCCTCCATCGCCGTTTGCCGATCAACAGCAATCAAAGATAGAAAAATCGATTCAGACAACAATCTACAACGTAGCGGACTCAGATGACGAAGTTTATCTTTAATTGGCAACTCTTAAGCTTAGACTTATTAAAATATAAATTTGTTTCTCATTACAAGACATGATAAATATACGACATCCTTCTTTCAATAGAGCGATTTTTGATATTCAATCTTGACCAATTTTTAAAATTTTCCAATATCTGTGTGTCTAAATTAAATTACATTGTTGAGAAAAAGTAATGTGGTTCAATATTCAGGTTGTGTTTGTGTTAAACGTCTATACTAAATGCAGATGTTGAAAGTTTGAAATTTGATCTTAACTTTTGATCATTCCTACGATTCTTTCTAGCCTTGATCAGACTAATCCTTTGCTTTGACTATCGAGAGGCCATAACACAATGGGTTTTGGCAGCAACGTCATTTTAATTGATTATTTTGATACTGTTGATAATTTGTATAAAAATAGCATCTGGTACAAGATATGTGATACAAGATATGTGTGCATATTCAGTTGTTTAATAGAAAAATCATTAAAATCTTTTCTTCCATTAAAGACAGAATAAAATATCTCGTGAGCGCCCATTATTTCCTCGACATTTAAAGTAGTAAAGATAATCGAGATTAATTCAAGCTTTAATTAGGCACATGATGTATTGTTAATTTGAACAGGCAGTAACTATCGATGCAAGAGATTCTGTATAAAGGCAGATCACACAGGGGATTGCTACAGTACAGTATATAACATTGCAGTGTGGCAATAAGTGAAAACCAACATACTGCAATTTTTTACAAGCAGTAAATACGAGATACGAACGCAATTGCTACAGTATAGTATGTAGCAATAATACATTGTATTATTGCTACCAGCAAAAATTGTGATTTCAACAAGAAGTACTGCCGGTGTGATAGATTCTGTATGTGAAATCGAATTAAGCTTTCAATTAATAGTATGAAACATTAAAGCATTATAGTACAAAGAAAATCAATGACCGAGATATCGACTTTCCAATGAATACGTTGGTAGCTTTTTAAACTCTCGACTAGAGTAAAATACACGAAAATGCTATCCTTCACTTTCTTTAGATGAAAGGTTATTATCTTTCTTATTGCCAGTAGCCGTATTACGTTGCATTGAGAACATGACACCCTTTAAAAAGTTTATTAATAATTATAATCAATATCCTATGGTGTAAAACAAATTAAATATCTTGAAAGGTATTCTAATAAATGCGGTATACAAACAAAAGACGCCATCTTCAAGGAATTGTATGACTTACCAATTGATCCAGAATGGCTGGAAGTTTTTGCCTTGGACACTTGATAGAAGACGCCTTTAAAAGACGATGTAAATCGCGCAATTCTAAGGGCTATCAACAATTTAAATAAAGAATATATCGTGCAGTCAATTACGCAATTATTTAAAATTTTACAGATTATCACATGGTATAACAAGACAAAGGCATAATGAGTCACTTATTAACCTCGTATTTTAGTACAGACATATACACAGCTCGATTTGACTTGATAAAATCAGAAATTCGGTCGGCAATGTTACTTTCACGAATCTGCAGAATCAAAGTAGTAACAAACCCATTTCATTTTAAATAAATACTAAAGAGAGCAAAATCCTAAAATCAGCGGAATCTGCTAACTTCTTGTGTTGATAGTATATCATCAGTTTCACTATTTTCATCATCATCTGCAACTAATGAACTCTTGCAACTAGATTGGATAACAAAATAAGTAAATTATCGTTAGTGCCTGGCATGTTAACATCAAAGATACCGTTAACATTACCTCCCATAGCTGGCTGAATTTTGACTGTTAGCATCACAGTCGCTTTTATCCGATTGAGTTGCGGCATCATCTAAACATGCGTCATTAAAATGGAATAACGCGATCAAATCTTGTAATACTAGTCTGGAAATTTTTCGATCATTTTAATTATACATTGCTGTTGTACGTACTCAAATATTGATTGATTTGTTCGAGTTTGGCAATCATTTGCCTTTTCGGTAAAGGTTTCACACCGTATTTTTGTAGTTGATTCTGTAATTATAGAATATGCGATTATGAGACGAAATATCATAATTGCTGAAAATTTTATTATAATGCCGTACTAGCAGAGCTATTAATAAGAAACCTTTAGTTCAGGAGTCGAATAATCAGTAACAAGTCGTTGATTAGTAGTATTGCTACTAGGATAATGGGGAGATCCCTTCGCGGTTAAGGTTGCTGATAGACTAGTTTCAAATTCCAGATTACGGTCCTGACTAGCAGAGAAATGATCTATGTCGGCTTTGGGATCTTCCACTACAGTTGGAGACTCATCGCGCAGTAAAAAGAAATCTAAATCTGCGTTGTATCCTCCATCATCAATAAACTGGAAATCTTCGTTATCGTCTGAATTTTCGGCAGGGTTCTCGTGCATGGACTGGGGGCTTCCATCTGCAATTTTCCTTAAATTGTCTTGACTGAGGACTAAAATATCATCAGATATTGCTATACTATCTTCGTGGTCACTTTTACTCGACACGACTAATACTTCTTCCTGGCTCAGATGGGAATTTGATTCTTTCCGCTGTGATTGCTCCATCAAGTGGCCAACACAGGATGAATCTGTCGATTCTGTTGTTACTGGCTTGTGAGGGGTTATTTGTGTTAAATCAATAATATCTAAAGATATATCTTCGTCAGCTATTGACTGAGATGAATTATTATCGTTCATTTCTTGATTAACAGTCGTTTCTTTTGTATTATCGATGACGTTGCTACTGCTATCAAATAATGACTTTACATAACGACATAAATGCCTTAATTTTAATCTATAGAAAACAGATATAATAATTACGTTAGCTCTTCGATTAATTAGGCACTTGTGCTTGTTAATTACATCAGCACATAGTAAAAACCTTACTTTTTGCTTAATTTAGCGACATCGATCAAAATTTCCGATGTAAAATTAACGCTGCCAGTATACATATATAACAAGAGAGCTTTAACAACTGCAGCAGAAAAATCATTCAATATCACTTCATATTTACAGTCGTTTCCATAGCTATGAAATTCCTATCAAATAAAAATGCCGTCGGTGATAAGTAATTGCCTAGGTAAAATTTCATACTTTCTACTAACTTTATATAAGTACGGCGATCTTGCCGCAAGGATACACGCATGAGCCATAACTTTTTCTTCATCTTTGGTTACAATCGTAACATCACAAAAATTATCATTTCTTAACATCAACGTAAAATCTTGCAGTAACTGGCTACGTATATCTGTTAATATAGCATTCGGTTCATTATTTTCGTTCTAAAGTTGAATAAAGGTTTAAACGATGTTAATAAAAAACTCTTGATTAAGTGCTTTCAACAATATACTGTATTTCGAAGGATTCCTGTATACAGTATTAAAGTATAGGATACCTTAACATCAGGAATTGATGGTTCATTTTTCAGGTGGGTCGATTGAAGTTTTGATTTACTAGTTTGACTGATACTTTTCTGATCTGGCAGCAATTGATTGACATAAAAATTATCCACATTCTTATTGGGTGTTAAATTTGCACTGAGGGACCATATACTGGAGGTTGGGCATGTTGTAGTAGTAGTGCTAGTCGATGATACTTCTGGAGTCCACTTTGGCTTATCGGGAGAGGGTATGCTCTCTTGGGGTTTCGTGTAGAGATTAGACAATTTGCTACTACTCATGCTTTGAGTTAATTGAATATCATTTTCTTCGTTCTAACATTGGGTTACACAATAAAACATTAGTTATAATTGTAAAATGTTTGTCCACTCGTTACGTAGTCAATATATTTATAGACTTGCAGCCAATAACGACAATATTTAAAGAACTGTCCTATTCTTGTTTCACAAAATAATAACCTCTTGAAGTAACCGACAAGCATTGCGAGCAATATTTTCTTTTGCTTCCTCTTCACTGCAAAGCAATAGCTGAGGCATCTCTTTAAATCTAGAACATGTGAAAATTACAGTAGTACATTATATCAATTGGAGTAGGGAAATATCTTTCTATTTCAGTCAAAGGTTAAGGAAAGTTTAAAAGATACTTAAAAATTGTCAATATGTAGTTATGGGTGTCATTACCCTTTCTTTCTCCTCTTCTTGTTGCCTACTGAAGTTAAATCACCGGGTAAAGCAAACGTGTTGTCCTTTTCTCGTTTACTTTTATCATGCATGGAGGCTGACATAGCAAGTGCTAATTGCGTTTCCTCATCGACTTTTGATAAAGTTTTTCTCTTTGCAGGTTTAGCTTTAGGTTCATTCAGATTTTGTCCAAGATCTGGCCATCATGTAATCACACCATCAAATAATGGTAAGTAAGAGTCAGTAGCATAAACTTGATAAATACGATAAACAAGCAACGCTATTCAATATACGGTTATACATGATATAAGATAAAATAGTGAGATATAGGCTAACGATGAACTATAGACAAGAAACAGTTCAAATGGTAACAGCCGTAAACTGGGTTCAAGTCATAATAATTATTAACTGTCTTAAGGGTCTAAATATCGAGTAGCATTGCGAACAAATATTGTGCAATAACAGCATTGACAAAAAGTTATAGATCCTGTTATATTGGAAAAGCGACGCGTATGATACAAGAAATTTCTCTACGCACATAGCTCAATTTTGCACGAAAGGTCATATGTAGCAATTGCAAAATTGAGATTGACGCTCCATATCATCCATCGGCTGTTTGATCAAGACTGTAGTAAATAAGGCAGTAGTAACTTTAATTTATGGTTGCTGGATTCCAATAATATTGAGTCCTCATCATTCAAGTTCTCTTGTAGTTAAGCCACAACATTGATACTATTAAAGTTATTGTCTGTTTCTTGGTCATTATTGGCAGGCAACATTCGTCTAAGACTACTTGTACTAGTCAACAGTGAAGGAAAAGATGTTGAATGTAGTTAGTACTAACCTGTGAATCCTTTTTGCTGGCAACATCGAATTAGCTGTTCCGTTGTTATACCATGAGCCTGGCCACAGCGTTTGATATGTATCAAATGATTCTGATATGAAAGTATTGAACATCAATAGAATCTGTTCATTTCTTAATGTTTGAAAGCAGTTGATAGAAAAATGATGCTGTTAACTGATATACAGTAACTTACTTTAATCCGGGATAAATCTTTGCCGCAAACTGGACAAGCTATCGACTTGGTTGCAGCCGGTGCTAGTGGTTTTTCTTGTTTATTGGTTTGACTTTGACAACATTGATCAACATGTCTCTGCTTTGCTTCCATGGATAAGTTACATAACAAGCGGCCACAAACGGGGCAAAATTCCGATAATATCTGCATGGATTTTTCTTCGTTTTCTTTTTCATCCTGCAAAATTTGAGCTGCAACTATTGAATCCGCATCACAAGTATCAGCTGTCTTCTTCCCTGATGATGACATTTGACTAGAACGATGATGATCTAAACATTGATTAACATGAAGGTTGAATAATTCCATTCCATCCTCTTGACCAAGACTGATCATCTCAAGACAAACAGGGCAGACACGGCCACTACTACTCGCTTCTACGGCTTGGATAGGATTAACTGTAGGCGCTGTTGTTGCACTGCTAGGCTGGATAACAATATTACTGCTTGGCGTTGTTGTTGGATGGATTGCACTGTTTGGCTGAATGACTGTATCACTGCTTGGCGTTGTTGTTGTTGGATGGATTATACTGTTAGGTTGAATGGCTGCGTGGTTGGTTGGCGTTGTTGTTAGATGGATTGCACTGTTAGTCTGAATGGTTGTATGGCTGCTTGCCATTGTTGTTGATTTACGTAATTTCAATTTCCGTTTTGCTTGACTACTTGAATCTTGTTGTGAATCTTGTGACGCCATCTTCATCAACCGCATCAATCAGTGGTTATCACTTGGCAAGCTATCACCCTAAGCTAAGCAGAGGAGAGTTGTCTAGTTGATACATCGCTTAAACGAGTTACCGCCAAGTTGAGGTGGAGGTTGGATGATCTTCAAGATGAAAATTCTTCTGCCATAGCAGCCCAATCTTGGGATACTTCGATCGTTCGATAGCAAGAGAAAGCAGATTTGAATTGATTGAATCTATGGTTACGCAATCTATCGTACAGTATGCCACAGTCCTCGAAGTACAGTACAGTACGTTTTTTTTTACAGTACATAACTGTACAGTACTGAGTACAGTACAGTTACGGACGGCCGTGCCGCTAGCTCTACAGTAAATACTGTACAGTACAGTACTGTACTGTACTGTACTGTAGTCTGTACTCTCTACGATACTAGCTCTACAGTAGATACTGTACAGTACTGTACTGTACTGTACAGTAGTCTGTACTCTCTACGATACAGTACTGTACTAGTCTACAGTACTGTACCAGAGGCAGGGAGCCACGTACTACCGAGAGAGTGACATTCAATCGTCTCTGCGAGTGGTCTGGCCTACAGGAATAAGCAAGAATGTTTGAAATGTTTTAAATCGCGCGGGTACCCTAAAGCATGGATACTTGGTGTTTAGTATCATGCAAAACACGAAATACAAATTCTAAGCAGTCAATGAAAGGATTTTCCTTCATTTTGACGTACTGTTTCATGAAGTAGCAGAGAGTAACAGGAAACCAACACTTCTCGACGTCAGCAACTTTTTTCCTTAGTCATTTTACTATACCGCTGGACGGAAATCGTACACCGTGCTGCAGCCAGTGATGGACTCGACTTAAGCAGTCTTCACTGCAGGATCCTACATCATCCGTAGATGCTACTATTCTAGTTGGAAGAAAAGGACTCCAACAAAGTTCCTCTCTCTACACTTCAGTGCCGAATATTCAGTTATTAAAAGCTGCTGTAATGCTTGCCTATATCACTTTGACACAGGTGTCTTTCTTGACTGCAAAGGACACAACAACTTAAATGCAGGGCAGATACCGTATCGATGGCACAAAAGGAATCATTCATTTCCAGTTGAAACAACGCTCTCTGGCTTGCTATAGTCTGTATGCTAGAGGAGCGTGTTATGGACTAGAGAATACACTCATCATAATCCATGACAAAGTCATTGAAAATATTCGAGATTGGCCAGGTTGGAACGGATTGCTATTTCAAATCAAAGTACGCAAAGTAAACTCCAACAAGAGACTGACCTTCTGATTTTCTTCGATAGTGGCCTGTAACACATTGAATACGGACCTTCTCCAATCGTTAGGAGGCCACAAGAACTCTATCTTTCTCTTACACTAGATTATAAACCCAATTTTTACTAAAAAATCAACCAATTCATAGTACAGTAAATTTACCCAAACATGAATGATCATTGCTTAGATAATATAAAAACAGGTTATCTAAACATGTATCGAACATGATTAGATAAATCGTTATCAGTAAGTTGCTAATTAAGTTATCTAGCGATAACCATGTTACTGGGTAATAAATGTATAATTCATTATAAGCAAAAGTCATAGCAATTGCTTATGAATTTATAGCAACAGGAATTATACCTTTATCAAACGGTTGTTAGGTACGATTATAGATAGGAAAACTTAAAAGCGAAGAAGGCAATCGGAGTCATAACTCTAGCCTATTCAGATTTCCAAAATATGCCGATCAGTTTAATGGTTCACTCAGGTATATGATCGGCACAACGATGTTGCAAAATGATATATCTCAATATAATTGATTGCACAACATGGACGTGTGCTAATCACTACCATTTCCTTATAAAACAAAGTGTAGACGAAGTTGAATGAGCCTAGTTTGTATCAAGATAGTCACGAACTTGCAAGAAAATAACTACATGCATATTCATGAATTCGTAGACAAGTAGACGCGGAAAAAACATGCAACAAATCTAAAATTAACCCCACCTTTTACAAAATGTATAAAATAGACAGACTTCTATTCTACCTCGACTTGTACAAATTGTATTTACTTCAATAGAATGGAAGCGCTCTGACAATAATAAATCATCGGAAATGGTATTGGAATCAGTCGCATAATAGATGGACAGAAGCAGTTTCCGCTTGCAAAATCATAACATTGCATAGACGTAATTACACTATTTATCCCATTATCTTAACTTCATACTATTAGCAAACGATAATTTTAATCCGCCATAAATAATCTTCCTGATTATATATTTATATCTATTAATATCCTAAGACCAGATGACAAAGTGTAAAAAACTATTGATAATGGTGCAATTAAAAAAATGATAGATCAAGACAGTATAATGATTTAGAGGATAACTTGACAAATCAGACAGATTAGTTATTCACGTCTGCAAGTATTTGCGATATTTTTGGTCTGTTAATTGTTTTGGCCAATTCTACAGTGTTAGAATAGACAATCACGCCGTTGCTACAGAGCTCGAACGCAACAAAATGATACTCGTTCAGAAAGACTAACGGAGTATAGTCCGAGCTTAATATCCCAATCAGTCACTAATTTGATATTGAACAAAAAAATTTTTATTTGCTTATGCTATTGCTGATTGCAATTTGCATTAATGTATTACATGAATCAGAGGCAGAAGTGCTGTTTATTGTTTCCCTTGAGAACAGCACATGTGCCAGTGAGAATAGCGGAAACCATAGGCATCGTTAGGTAAACAAGAGATGTCACTGCTTCTCTCAACTACTGCTGCTATGAAAGAATCAACGGTCTCTATTTCACCCTCCTATCCTTATCCTTTAAATTCAATCATTGTCGCATACGATATATAAAATTCGATAGCATAGAGATTCATCAGCGTTCTAATTAAAAACTGCAATCAAGTCTTTATTTGCTAACACTGAAATCGCAAAACAAACACATTNTCCTGCGCGATTTGTCTGAGGCTATTCCTATTTATTATGCTAATTGCTTGATTGTAATGATTAGCATCATTTTTACTAGAATTAATTAATTTCAATTCATGTGACTAAGTGGATAATAGGCTTATGATATAATCGTTATGATTATAATCAAAAAAACAGAAATGATAACGTTAACGAGATGTTGAACACTGTACAGTACATTATAATTATCGTTGAAGTTAGCTTGACGATCTCTCTAATCAAATCAACGATCATCGTTTAATATCAATTTTAAGTATGGTCTATTCTTGAATAGGGCAATTAAAGAAATCGACAGAAGATTTATTGTAATACAAGGATTTAGTATTATCTAGAAGTTATTAGACACCACGACAAAGTGGCTTTAATATTTAATGCATATTGGAGTTAAGAGTTCTGTCTTCCTTCAATACTCGCATCATCTCCTATTCATCTCTAAGAACATACTGCATCATTTTAAACTGGAAAACTATATGATTAGACATAATTTCGGCTAATCTTTATCTAATATAGTACTGGTGAATACACATTTTCTCTTACACTGTAGAGCAGTAAAAGTTATAGCTTTACTTAGATTTTAAAAGTTTGCATTGCTTCATTGAACCTTAAAATCCTTCAAATTCATATATAATTATAATCATTGCTTATATAGAACTTATCTAATCAAACATAAGCTTGATTATTAAATCTAATATCATTGCCATTGACAAAAATCTGATTATATTAAATCTATTTCCTGTTATAATGATGATGATAAATATGAATATAACAGCAATAGAACCATACGATGTTATAATTGGTTTATTTTCTTCGTGAAAGCTAAATAAACCAAAATACTATAATGCTAGATTCTGTCAGCTAGTACAAGGCATCATTAAAAGTCTTGTTACCGTGTGAGGCAAAATAGAAACATACAGTTCGTGATTGCCATTTTTCATTCAGCAAACAATAATTATTTAGTAACAGTATAACCGAATATTTTAGTAAGGCCACTCATACCTCAATTTGCCCATTTCTGGTAGCGATACAAAGACTACTAATTGTTCGCTATAAATTACATGCAAGCCTGCCTAATTAATTGCCGCCAGTAAGTACTAAGAACTATTTTATTTTCCTTGTGTTACTCTTTCAATAGTTCATAATCGTACTAGAAAGATTGTTTATGTATTAACAGTAACATTTTGACTATTATTAGAATTCAAAGTAAATATACATTATCATCTACATTATCCAATGGACTTTATAAATAAAAGTTTAAAATCCGAATTGATCAAGTTAATTGGCGGTACAGCGTTCTTATTGATACAAATCAACAGCTGTGGGCTTATCCATTAGAACTTGAATTCATTAATTAGTATGATAATCATCCTCCATAATAAAAAAAAACAATTAATTGGTTGTAAAACTTGATACTTGGATTTAATTTACAGAATAAAATTATAACAACTGCATCAATCGTCAACCACTTGAATTTTACTACTTATTAGCAAGGCCTAGGCCACTCTTGAGTCGTAATATGGCACACTTCATAAAGATCCATTTCTATTGAAGCAGAGAAAAACAGTTTACAAATAACCCCATCTCAGGTCTCGGAATAGTTCCATTCCAGACACTTAGTTAATCTGTCTATTATATGTCTGATTTCTAGCGCGTAGACATTGTCGGCAAAACATGGATATTGTCTAGGAAAGGAAGTAGTATTCCAAAATCGATCGTAATAGTTGATTATTATTGCCCTTTTACGATATGTAGTCCAAAGCTTTTAGACTTTGAGCATTAAAATTTAATATGTTTTTAAATAAATTGATATGATAGACTGAATAATTTTACAGCCTAATGAATATGAAGAGAATTAATCTATTCAATTGGATTGCCTTCCAAGATGATTTGCCGATTGCCAAATCTAGATAATACTAATTGTATAGTTGTCTCCAGTTCAATCCATAGTTCCCAGCATTATTGGAAATCAGCAATTATAATTACTTCTTGTTTATTTGTAGATCAAATTCTTCCGAATTATTGATGGAAGAACTTGAA